GTGATATATATATATATATATATATATATATATATATACACACACACACATACTTATCTTATCTCGATTAGACTTTCTGATACAAGGAAACTCATAGCAACTTCAACAACGAGCATTCAATACAAAAAGAAAAGAGAATCTTCTTCAAAATGAAATGAGAATATTCACTACAAGAAATCACCCTTACTGTGGCGACTAAAGTCGCCACCAAAGCCCTAGTAGTCGCTGATAAAAGGTATTAGCGGCGAATTTTGTATTGCCACAAGGAAAATCATAACTGAAGGTTATATGTGGCGACATTTTATAATCTCCACTAAAAGAACATATTTTGTGGCGACAAAGTTGCCACAAAAGGTTGGAAAAAATGCTACAAAAAATTGTTCCATAAGAACAAATGTTAGATGGGTCGCTACTATATATTCACCTTTAGCAGCGACTACTGTCGCCACAAAATATATTTATGTTCAGTGGCAAGATTATGTCGTCACTATAAATATTCTTTAGTAGCGACTAAAATTGCCAGAAAAAATATTTATGTTCAGTGGCAAGATTATGTCGCCACTATAAATATCATTTAGTAGCGCCTAAAGTGGCCACAAAAGGTTTAACCATGAAAGACACAATGTTTTCTCTAGCGACTACAGTCGCTGCAAAAGAAATTGACCTTCTGTGGCAACTTATCTATCGCAACAATTACTAATTTTTTGACAAAACTATGTCACCACTAAAAGTTATTTTCTCAGCAATTATAACGACCAAAATTATATACATTTCCATACCAGTAGGAACCTAATTCTCTCAAATTTCATATAGAGATATTCATATCAATTGACTATCAATATTAAAGAAACCAATAATGCTTGACAAACACCAAAAGAATTTCTCAAACCGAATATTACAAATATTATCATTACTAAAAAGTCAATTACATATATACTACCCGACACTTCATTGTGCATTGTAATTGTACGCATATACATATCCCAAAAAAGACAAAATATTAAGTGCCTTGTAATTGCTCCTTGCTCGACACCATGCTTGAACCACTGTTTAAGTGTCTTGTCCCTGCTATACAAAAGGAATATATATAAGGAACATAATGAGATTTGTTATATCCAATTCATTCTTTCCCTGCTATACTTTATATTCATTTTACGCTAAATCATTCCAATATCAATTGAATAAGTCTCTAATTGTGTGAAAAATGTAATACTATGGATACATTGAAGCATCAAAGAAGCTCTATTGCAAATAAGTAGAATTAGACCGGCTAGAAAATAAACCAATTACAACTACTTAAACAATCAACAAAAAATCGGCTTTAAAAAAATCATCCAAACTCTTGCGAAGACAGAGAAAAGGCTCTATTGCATAAGCAACTCAAATACTAGTCCCATTACTCAAAATCAACAAAAAGGCAGAAAACATAAATCTTCCAAAATCTACCACAAAACCTAACAAAATTCAAAATTTTATAGTATCTTTCTGATCATTATCATCTTCACATCCATCAACCAAACTCACTCATCTTAAACTTCTTCATACCCTCCACAACAGCTGTTCTAAACTACTATAGATGAGTATTTGTATTTTGTAAGGAACTGCTAAAGAAGCAAATTTTCATACCAAGACTCATTGTCATACCCAAAAGAAATAGAATTAGAGCCGTTAGCAGCTAAAACAATTACAAGCACTAAAATAATCAATGAAAAATCAGCTAAATAGAGGGGGGGACAATTAACCAAAAGTCTTCTCAGCCAGAGAAAAGCCTCTATTGCATAAGAGGCTCGAATTCTAAAATTGAGTTGGTCCCATTACTCAAAATCAAGAAAAAAGCATAACATAAAATCATCCAAAATCTACCACGAAAACTAACAAAGTTAAAATTTCTGTAACGAACGCTAAAGAAAAACATTCAAAAAAAGACTGATAGCCACACCCACAAGAGTTAAATTATAACAGCTAGCAGCTGAATTATAAGTCGTAAAAGAATAAACCAAAAATCAACTAAAAAGAAAGAAAAAATAAACCAAAATCTAAAATTGAACTAGTCCCATTACTCAAAATCAAGTAAACAAATAGAACATAAAATCTTCCAAAATCTAAAGTACTATAGATGAGTACTCCTATTTCATAAGGAACTGTTAAAAAAGAAGCAAACTTTCATGCCAAGACAAATTGTCACACCCAAAATTCCCCAACAAAGTAGAATTATACCAGCTAGCAACTAAACCAATTTCAACTACTAGAATAATCAACGAAAAATCAACTTAGAAGAAGAAAAAACAAAACAAACAACAAACTTTTGATTAGATAGAGAAAAAGCTCTATTGCATAAGTAGCTCAAATTCGAAACTTAAAGTGTCCCATTACACAACATCAAGTAAAAAAGTACTTCTCTTCACCATTGATTTTTGTAAAGAACTTTTAGAAAGAAGCAAAACTTCCATAGCCAAGACTAATTGCCATATAACCAAAACTCCTCAACAAAGAAATAGAATTAAAACAGCTATCAACTAAACCAATTAAAACTACTTAAACAATCAACAAAAAATCAGCTGAGTAGAAGTAAAACAATTAACCAAAAGTCTTGCTCAGCCAAAGGAAAGCTCTAGAGCATAAGAGGCCAAGTCCCATTACCCAAAATCAAGAAGAAAAAATGCATAACATAAATTCTTCCAAAATCTACCACAAACCTAACAAAGTTCAAACTTTTATTCACTCCAGTAACTTTTTAAACTTTTATTCACTCCAGTAACTTTTTTATGACCGAGCTATCTGTTAGGGACCCAACACAGCTGGCAACTAAGTACTTAAACAATTAACCAAAAATCAGCTAAAAGACAAATCAACTAACCAAGTATTGCTCTATTGCATAAGTATAGCAAATTCTAAACTTGAGCTGGTCCCATTACTTCGGAAAAAAAAGCGTAACATAAGTTCAGGGCCAACATAAGCATAGCAGGAACATAGGTGAGAAGGAACAATTCCTCCACTGATGTTACTCATTGCAGAAAGTCACAAGTTCAGGGCCAACATAAGCATAGCAGATTAACCACCAGGCAAACCAACCTTACATACTAAAATCAGTGATACTAACACATTACGTACTAAAACCAACCTTTCTGTTGAAATAGAACCAACACATTACTAAAACCAGAGATACCAACACATTTCTAAACCCCTAAATATGAAGTCACTACAGAAGGAAGGAAGAAGAAATGTCGAGAAGGAAGAAGAATTGTTAAGAAGGAGCGGAGCAAGTACCTGTTGTTGTTGCATTCTGGTCAAGAAACTAGCAAATTATTCGTGCATCTTATTCTCCACTTCTAGAGAGATCCTCTTGTCTATTTCTGCATTTGCGTGTTGACGCTCCTCTGTCAACTTCCTTTCCAACTCAATTTCCTTATTTCTTTGCAACTCAGTAGCCATTTGTTCATGTTCTTCTTGCAACTTCCTATCCATCTTGGCTTGCATCTCCTGACGCACAATATCAATAGCAGAAGACATGCTGGCCTCTATGTTTTCCTGCTGAATGTTACTCTTTTACGAGGTTTCTTTCCGTATCCTTTTCCATGAACATAGCCTGTTCTCTCACTAACAACGGAGGATAAAATTTCATCTCTAGTCATGGGATGCTCTATCTCCTCAGATTGTTGCTGAACGACAACTTCCTGGAGTTGACCCTGCATTTATGCATAATCATTTAAATCAAAACATAATAAAACATATTAAATAAAACTTACAGAAACAGAGAACTTTATAAGTGTTTTTAGATAATTACATGAATTTGTTGGGATTGTGAATCCAACCACGCCAGTTTGCCTCTATCATCCTTGCGTGTATGTTGGATCTCCCAAACTTTATCTGGTGTGTCCAATTCTCCAGTAATAGGATTTCTCTACAATATAGTTACGGAGAAAAAATATATAAGCGAATATATAAATATGTAAATAACAAAGAAGCATATGTGATAGTAGGGGACTAAATATATTTTTACCGTATATTCCTCTACTTCTGCAAAAGACTTTGTACCACAAGCATGCTTAGTTATTTGCTTTTCTCTATTTCTTTTGTTCCTCTCACTTACAAGCTGTAAGTAAACAGATTAATAAATCATCATTCAAAGAGACAATCTTCAGGTATTAAGTTAATACCTTAAATTCCGGACTTCCAAAATATTGTATTAGGTATTTCCAGTCCTCAAGCTCAACATCTTCAGGTTGATGAGACAATCTTTCTTTATTAGTACTGTACTTCGAGTATAGAATGCTGAGTCGAGCTTTCCATGCTCTAAAAAGCCTTTGCATAATGCTAATTACAAAGGCCTGAAACCTATGCTCTCGCAACCTGCTGCAAACTTCAAACTTATCCTGACAATAAATGTAACATTATATTCAATATCCTAACCACATAAATAAACCTTGCAACTTAAAGTCACTACAATATTAAAAGTAGTTTATTACCTTGACCTTTAACCACATTACTTCTCCGTGTTTCAGAACTGTTTTCTGCCAAGGACACCGAATCACAATGTTCACCGTTGGTTGACTAAATGCCTAATTAAGAAAGTTGTCTACTCCATCTCTGTATCTTTGGTCGAATCTATTCCTAATATTCAACCAACTTTTATCCATCATATCTATATTAAAAAAAAAATTACTAATTAAAGGGGAAAGGATTATAATAATCAAAATATATATAATAACTAACATATACCAGGGGTATTCAGACAAGCAGTCACAAAAATACATTATTCAACAAGAAGGAAGCAGTCTATTCCAGAATTACTTATACGAATTGTGTGCAATGAAGAACAAGTTCAAACCATGGTATGTACCACTCTATGAAACTACAAAAATACATGACCTTAGTAATATGTTGATTAAGTTTCTGTCAGGTAATATGCAAGATTGACAACTTCAGCAAACAATATTCAGAAATCATATAACAAAATTTCTTTCGCTGGACGAGATTAGAAGATAGTTAAACGGGCAGAGAAATTACGAGGAAGAAGCATTTCTGGTGATCTTCTGCTTCTTTTTACTGCAAAGAGGAATACTGCAGAGGAAATGTTCTTGAATGAAACTATGAAGACAAACTATTCGAAGATTTTAAAACAGGCAAAAGCTATTCGAAGATCAAACTACGAAGACAAGAAAACTCCTGGGATTCTTTAACCGAGTGAATCAGTCAATCTAATTTCTAAGAGTGAAACTAATCCCATACCAAGAAGAGACCTGCCATAACCAAAATTGTGTTTTCAATGATAATAATCTTGTGCGGCTTAGGAGAACAGCAAATAAACAAAGACCGATCCATTTCATAGAAAACTTGAACCCAACTCTAACACGACAAGGAAGAACCAAGCTTCGCTATGGGGTACAGGAAAGTTACTTAATAAAAGGGAAGAAAACAAGAAAACAGCAACAACAGGTTGGTGAGATCTCCTTCAACGAAATTCTTTGGGGTTTATATCTGTGATAATTTATTGGTGGACAGATATGCACTACAGTTAGTATACCTAATTTTTCATGAAGAGGGTCAGACACAATGAGCAAGTTTCTGATGGGAAATTTTGAATTATATATTTCACATTTTCTATGAGAAAATGTAGACATAAAACTGCTCTGGTTGGAACTGCATAACACACAAGTTTTCAGTCACACAGGGCAAAGGATTTATATCATTATCACCTTTCAATAGTCACTTTTGAGAATTATCGAAAATATGTCCAACAATATACTAATGAGATAACTTGATCAAAACCTACTGGCATGTATAGAGGTGAAATTAATTTTAATTTTAAAAAATTAAAATACTTGATTGAAGCAAAGCAACTTCTTTCCCCAGAGAAAAACAAAAAGATTAGGGATTTTAACATACCTGAGTTTTTAATATTTCACTTCTATATTATCTTGTCCTTTGCCAACTTCCGCAGCTGTGTACATGTTCTTGAATACTTGAAGTTGAAGAAGCTTTGAATCGAAAGTCCCTAGTGGTCTTCTTCTTCGCACAACTCGATTTACAAATTCAAACCCGGCAGAAACTTCTTCGCACAACTCGATTCACAAATCCAGCTTCTAATCTTAAGATTTAGCTTCAAAATGAAGTTTCTGGCAAGTATCATAAACACCCAATCGAATTCACATTCTGATTTGAGGGATTTCGATTTGGATGAGATTTTTGAGGGATTTCGATTTGGGATTTCTATTATCTGGACAGATTTCTAGCTAGAGAGGACCGACTTAGGGTTTCGATTTGCGATTTCTAGCTATAAAGGACCGATTTTGGGCGCTTCTCTATTCTTCACATCGACTCGATGTGTTCGAGATAAGAGTTTCGCTGCTTCGGTCTCTGGACCGATTTTAGTGTTTCATTTACTAATTATTTTCTTTTGTTATTTTAAAAGGGAATAGGAGCAACCCGGTTGCTGCAATACATATTTAGCGGCGAAGTCGCCACAAAAATATGGAGCCAAAATTTTAATTTTAGCGGGAGTGAAAATTTCAGCCACTTTAGAGGCGACCTACGAATAGTCGCTGCTAAATATAAACAAACAGTGGCGACTTTTTAAAGTCGCTGCTGATAATATACATTTTGTAGCAACTTATGAGGTTGCTGCTAAATGTCGCCACTAATTATTCAACTTCTTGTAGCGGTTGGAGCTTATCCTATCTCTTTCTAATTTCCCTTCCTGCGCTTGTCCCAGCGACCCCTTTCTGTGGTCTTGGATCATACCCCTTACGAACTGAAAGGATTCAAAGCATATAAAAATATAGTACAAAATAAATTGTTCCTTTCAAGCAGTGGTGTGGCCGGCAAAACAATACTTGAAGTGTTGTCAAATTAATAATAAATACTATGCATAGCACTTTTCTGATATGTTTACGACACTACTGAAAAAATAATGTAAACATCAGTCAAGAACAAAAGTATAGCGTTAGTAAAACCTCACAACTGTAAAAACCCAAACCCGTGTACTTGCTCAACTCGAACTGGATTAACACTAATTTCAAGTTCTTTTCAACGGGAGTAATAAATTACCTGTTACTAACAGCTGCCTCAAATCTAGTTCCTTGTAGTTTGTTACACGATGTGTTATTATTACCTATAGTTTTCGCACTTTTCTCATTGCTTTGTATTCCTAGATCTTTATTATTACACAATATACCATTTGCTTTCGTTGTGATCTTATTTCCTTGTCATTGTTATTGTTTGTTTATTATGTTCTTTTCACGGGTTCAAGCCGTGGAAACAGCTTCTTGCAGAAATGCAGGGCAAGGCTGCGTACAATAGACCTTTGTGGTCCAACCCTTTTCCGGACCCCGCACATAGCGAAAATTTGCTGCAACCGGATACCTTTTTTTAGAAACTAGAATCTATCAAAAACAACCTCTCTTCCTTCGTTAGGTTTGCGTACATATCACCTCGAAAGAGGCTGGTACAGCTGCCTCAAAAAGTGCTGGTTTGGTTTCTTATAGGCTTTCCTTTTGACTATTCTGAGAAGATAGATAATCAATAAGAAGAAGAGGGCATAAATAAATATAAATATACATCAAGATTTAAGAGCAAGAACATGGGGTGGTCCCCACGTTTGTGCCGGCCTTAATAATTGCGAAAAGTTGGTTGTTGGATTTCCTGTAAATAAATAAATATAAGACGACAAAAAAAGCTTTTTTGCTGAGCATATTAATAACTGTGGTTTCATCCCCAAGTCTGAACACATATCCGATGACAGATCCACCTTGCTTCTTTTTCTGTGTTGGTCCTTCGTCTGTTTGGGGTTTTGGCCCAAACCAATTGGTATCTATATTTCTTCATGTGATCATGTCCCCTAAAATTTAAATTTGCTTATTTTTGTCTGTAGTACTGTATATTTAATTTGATACATAGTACTAAATGATAATTTGATTTATATATTATATTAAAAATAGTGAAATAAATGCTGATTAGATTAATGTTTGAGAGACTAATTTTAAGAAGAATATATCATAACAAAGTTCAGAATTTTAAAATGTAAAACTTTGTAACCAGTAACAATTAATATATTTTATTATATATATAAACTTGAGTGGTATAACGATTTCAATTAACTTATGATGTTTCCCCAGAACTGAATGTGATGATCCTAGACAAGGAAATAAATGTTTTTCTCTCTAAGGTATCGCGTTATCTATCTATATTATATTAAATGGAAGATAGTGAAACATTAGGTTAAACCAACTAGCATATTGAGCAAATGTTACTTGGCACTTTTAAGATATAATCAAAATAGATTTAGACAAATCTAATAAAACTTAAGATAAATTAGATTTGATCAAATTTAATTTATGGTGAAAATCAATTAAGATTGAATATGATCCTTTCTTCCAATTCATAATTTTTATATTTTTGAAAACATTAGGAAGAGAAATAAAATGATAGCAGAAATATTATTACATCAATTAGATATAATGTGTTCAAATAAATAAGAAAAAGTTTTTTTCCGATTAATATTTGAAGCAGTTAGTAAGTTTATATCTGAAGCATAAGATGATTTGTTGAAAATGTTGTCCAATTCAGAATAGAGTAGAATAAGACTTATTTGAATTTGAGATGAGATTTTTTTTTTAATATGAAAAGAAAAATCATATTTTAGAATATCTATTTGTCTATATCTATATTATATTAAAAGGATAGTAGTGAAGCATGAGGTTAAGCTAAGTGGCATATTCAAATAAAATACCAATAGGTACTTTTAAGACATACTCTAAATATATTTAGAGAAATCTAATAAGGATTAAGACAAATTAGATTTGATCAAATATAATTTATGGTGAAAATAAATTAAGATTGAACATGCTCTGTTTTTTTTTTCATTTCATAATTTTTATATTCTTGACAATATTATGTAGAGAAATAAAATGATAGCGGAAATTTTATTAATATAATGTAATCAAACAAATAAGAAAATAACATTTTAATTCATATCTGAATACAGTGCGACTAATTTATGTTTGAAAGTATAAGATGATTTTTTGAAAATAGTGTTCAATTTAGAAAAGAGAAGGATATGACTTTTAAATTTGAGATGAAATTTTTCTTTTACTAATATGATAAGAAACATAATATTTTAGAATATGAGCAATAGAGTCAAAGTTATTGTTGACATAATTTTTTTATTTTTATTTGTATTATATTAAATGCGTGAGGTAGAAATAGATATTAAATCCAAACAAGATAATGAAATCCAAGTGACAATATAATAGTATTAAGTATTAAATAATATAATAAAAAATAAGAAAAACAAATAGAATTTTTTTTAATATTTTATCATAAAGAAAAAAAAAAGATAAAACTTATTTAAATTTGAAATGAGAATTTTTTTATCTATTATGCTAAAAAAAATCTTATTGTGAATAAGGACGCATAACTCAACTCTAACATATAAAAAATTAAAAATAAAAAAAAATTATTTAGTGACAATGTGAGAATATTTATACAAGAAATTAGTTTAGAAAATAAAATAAAATAAAACATTAAATATTTAAAAAACTTGTTGAAAAATTTAAATAACTTTAAGAATTCCAACATATCTATCCATATTACATTAAAGAATAATAATAGATAACGATATTAAATAAAGTGGCAACTTAATAAAAATTTATATGGAAACATGATAATACTATATATTAGATATTGTAACAGTAAAATTAAAGAAAATAATTAAAAAAATTAATATTAGAAATGGAAGGGAAATACTACTTAAACTTGAGATTGAAAATTTCTTAAAATTATGATGAGAACGCTCAAGCTATGGTTAGGACTACGAAATTGAAGTCTTACTAGATAAAAAAAAATTGACAACAAATTAAAATTTTAAAAAATACAATATAAATAATTTATGTAGGTAATTTTACTAATAAAAATTAAATCAAAATTGTTATCTTGAAACTAAAGAGAAAGAAAATTTAATTGTATGTAATAAAAAAATTACTATAAGAAAACTCAATAGATTTGGAACATAATAATCAAAGAACTTATGTATTAATATTTTAGACTAATTGAAGGTTAGAATTTAAAATAAAATGTGATATTATTTTTATTATAGTTAAAATATTAATGTAAAAATTAATTAAAATTTCATAGTAGGTTAAAAAATATATATAAAGAAAACAAATAGAGATAGTGTGATCATAAACTTTGAATTAATTTAAAACGTATGACGATCCAAATTATTTAATTCTAAAAGGCTATCCAAGCATTTAACAAACACTTAAAAGCAACCTTTTCTATATTAACAAACAGATTTGTATTGATACCTGACAATCAGGCTGGGCTGCTAACTAGATCAATATGACACCAAACAGAATTTTCTGATTTAGCTTGTAATAATGGAACAAATGTTTGTTAAATGGAATTTGTAATTACAGGGACTCAAGATATGACAGTCGTTGTTGAGGATAGATATATACATAGAGGTTATAGATATTTTTGTCAATTCTCTTCCTTAGCTTTAATGGAACTTCTTAAAACAGTAATATTGCAAGTAATTGCTAGTTTAAGAGACTTATGATAGTTCTCCAAAGCGGAAGCGAACCGAGTGCAACAATCTTGTTCGAATCACTGATTGTTCAGGAATCCTCACGTGGCAAGATGCAGAGAATTACTAACTCTATAGCCATCCTTTTATTATATAAACTAGTGAATTTACCGCGCTTTGCGCGGTCTTAAAAATTAAAATAAAATTAAATAATTGAAGTCGTAATTTTTATTTTTTTAAAAATCACTCTTTAATAATCAATTGAACATGCTATTATATAAAAGAATACCTTATTTATCCATCGACATAACTTGATCACTAATTAAAATAAGCAGGTTAAAGAGGGTAAAATTATTTGCCATAATCCTCACAGAGCTCGAGCTACAAAATTTCAATGAGATATCCTCGTGATTACAATAAACACAAAATTCACGCTTCATCATTTGCACACAAAGCACAAAGCTGAGGATGAAGTAACTGCAACATGAACCTTCACACCAATAAACATGGAAAAGCAAACAATTACAATGATAAGGAAAAAAAAGGATATAAAAGCAAATAAGAAATGTCTCTAGCATGTAAGGATCGATTTTGGTGGAGGAGTAGTCTATGAAACCATTACTACATCAACTCTTTTTTCCCTTGCCTCCTCCAATAATGTTTGTTTCGCAGCCATCTCTCCATAACATGATAGTAATAGCAATTCTACAAAATCATATTAGAAAATAGCAAATGAAGAGGTGAACGGTTCTCAAATTGTTCATATACAATACAATAATCTGTTCAAAAGTCCTTTGAACACCTCAATTCGTTCTTCTTTTAGAAAGAAGTGTCAAAGAATTTATGGGAGAATAAGACCGTATGAAGTAACACGAATTTGCATTTGAATTGCACTAATTCAATATGTTTTATACTAATTTTTTCTATTTATCTTCTTCTTAGTTTTTTTAAGTTCGCCAACATAACATTAGTAGATTGGCTTAAAACTGAGAAGAAACATTGCTGAAAAGTCTTCTAGTATCCAATTTCTGGAAATTTTTTGAAAAATATACAGAAATAAGTAAAAATTAAAATATAGCACCTTTGATAGGACAAAATCTTGAGAAGCATTTCAGTCAATTTATATT